AGCCACACAGCATGCCATAGCTTGACTGTTTGCATTCATCAAAGTGAAAATGCCTATTAATAAGAATTCAATTATTTAGAAAAAAGTTCCTGGCAGCACAGCAGCACCTTTCTAAGTTCTTTTCCAATGGGAACTTTACTTTCTGCAAATTGCATTTGACTCAAAAAAAACCCAAAACAAATTAGAAATAGATGGTCTGCTGTGACTCCAGAGTGAAGGGCTGCAAAGAAATGAGCATGAAAAGCAGAACCTGTCACAAGCATCTGTGGAACAGCAGGAAGTTATGGCCAGCTTGTGACAGTAGCACTAAGACTCCACATGGGAATACTATTAAATTAACAGCACATTGAGATTAATTGCCTTTTTTCTTTTCTGAGGATTTTAATTTATTTTTTTTTTCAGTTGCCCAACAGGTATCTTGTAATGCAGTGGGTTTGATTTGGTGGGGAGGTTCTCTGGTTTTGCAGCTCTTTCTGAGCTGTGTTTCCAAGTCCTGTTATTAATTTATCACCCAGGAATAGAAAAGCAGCTCCAGTGCTCTGACCCAACCACACCCAAATCCTCAGGGAAGTCAGATGTCTCTTCAGAAGCCATGGGCAGTGAGATAACAACATCACACACACTCTTTGAATTTTAATTATCACTATTAAGGATTAGGAACCCTGTGAGCAACCAATTTAGCTGGCATTACTAAGCCAGAGTCAAGCCTGCTTTTAGTTAACTGTAATGCAATATTCATGCCTCAAACCTGATTTTAGCGAGTTCCCTTCTCTTCTGGAGCAAGTACATCACTGGAGGCTCCAAGTCCCCTCTTTGGCATCCCCACCCTCACTTAATTCTTGACCACAGGGGAATTTTAACAGGGAATTAACTAATCCCTCTCTTGCTACTGCCAGCATAAGAGAGAACTGTTATTCCAGTTCAGGAGAGATCAGCTTTTCTCCTGTTAAGCTATTCTTTCCTAAAAGAAAGCTGGAAATATGGGGAGATTGACTGCCCCTCCAAAGCTGTGTTAGTGTCTGAACAGGTCACTTACACAGAAAGAATTTTCTTTGAAATATCCTGGTGTAGATGACTGTGTTTTTCTGCTATCGTTGCTAATCCCCTCCATTCCATAATTAGGATTGTTTCTCCTGACATTATTTCTACAGATTCCATGCTGGGGCATGACTATAAAGGACAGGCTGCAAATCTGGCACTGAGGAGAAAGAGGAAAAAAGAATAGGAATTGCAAAAAGACCAGTTCTCATTTTAACCTCCAGAAAAGTGCAGTTTTCCCTAACTTTTAGCAAAGGGAAATATTGTGGCTGGTGTTTTGTGCCTAACCTTAAGTGAGAGTTTTAAGTGACTGCTATAAATAATCATAGCTAGAGCTGGTTTGGTGAATGATTTGCAAAGAGTCTCTGCATGTGCCAGCCCTGCAGGGTAATGTCCTTGTTTAAATGGATTAACGTGGGATTAACATGACCAATAGCTGACACACGGGATGCCTGAACACAGCAAGGCACAACAGGAAAGCTTCCTCCAAGAAAATTAAAACATCTCCCTCTTTTCTCCCAGCTAAACCAAACAAAAAAATGAAAGGAACTACCCAGGTGACAAAAAGGCCAACGAAGGAGGTTTGCCATTTGCCAGAGCTGTCACTTCTCACTCAGTCAGGTCATGTGCTACAAACACTAGCACTACACATCCTGCTTTGCTCCACAGGACTTCCCTTCTCCAAATTCTTTCCCTTGGCCCTGGGAAGAGCCTCAGACCCTTCCTTGGGCTGATATCTCCCATTAGACCAAAACTGCAATCTCCAGCCTCACTGTTGTGAGCTCTTAACTCCTGCACTAATCAAAGACCACGAGGAAGCCACCAGGTCCCTTCCCTGGCTGCCCCAGCCCTGCTCTCAGCATTGCCAGCCCATGGCCAGCCTGGGCCTTGGGCTCTCAGCAAAGCAGCCCTTGGACAGGAAGCACCTGGGTGCTGCCCTTTTATAGGGCAGGTGGAAGCAGGGCTGTTGCTGCTCTAAGTGAAAACACAGCATTACCCAGCATCCTGGCTCCTGGGGGGAAAGAAAGTGTTTTATTAATCAGAAAAATGCTTTCCACCCTGTGGTGTCTTGCAGACCTTTAAACTTGCATCTGCACAAATCAGAGAAATTCTTCTGTCATTCTCACAACAGTTAAAATACAGAAACCATTTTTAGACTTCAGGATTACTTTTTTTAAAAAAAGAGAGAACTTGATTCTCATTAGAATTACCCCCTCAGCTCAGCACAGGGTGCTATGGGCTAGGTAGAATTTCCAGGGTATATTCCCCATCCATGATAGTGGGAAGCTGAGACTGCTTGACCAAATTGCATGGTCACACACCACCTGCTTTTTCTCATTCCATTCTAGACTACTGAAAGAGAGAGAGGGGATGAAGACCAGAAATGTTGGGCACCCCATAATCCTCAGTACCCAGGAACTGCTGTCATGACCAAGCAATGACTGGCAGAAGGATGATGTGAAGATAATGAAGTCAAAGTCTTTGTGTGTGTGGGGACTCAGAGCCAAAGGCTAAAAGATCATTATTTCACCCAAAGTGTTCACCATGCATTTCTAGTTTTGCTCTTGAAACAACTCATTTCATCTGAGAAGAAAGTATTTTCATGGATGGTGTGTTCTTGCTATAATTCATGAGACTACGTATAAAAACAAAACATTTTTCTCCACAGGAAAAAGAAAAGGGACAAAAATTCCCCAAAGACCTCAGGTTTTTAAGGGAGAACTGGGAGTGTTGATATCCAGTTTTGGCACAGCTGAAGAAAGGAAAAATCCCTGTTAAGAACACTCTGGTTGATTTTAACTAAAATAACTCACCCCCTCAGAGTTGTCTGGGTCACTGCAGAAAGCATTTCCTCTGGGGGTGTTTGAGCCTGGCAATGCTAATTCAGACAGATGACAGCACCTGCATTGGGGGAACATACATCATTCCAAGAAAATCCAGCGGAAAAGCAACTTCCAGGCATTTCATGTGCATTTTAAAAGATACAAACAGGAATATTTAAAAGATACAACACCAGGAATGTTAGGATTTGCATGAACCAAAGTTGACAGTCCTGCGCCCAAGCCTGACAAACATTAAAGGCCCATGACTATAAAGGTAGCCCTGCAAGCAGCGTTTTTTCCCTGTGAATAGCTCGCGTTCAATGGTCCTTTCGGGCCAGCTAACGCTGTCAGATAATGAGCGAAGCGCACAAATGGCCGGCGCAAAGCTGGGGAGCAGAGCGGCGGTGAATGGAGCGGGGTGGCCGCCCCCGCACCGAGCACACAGAGCGCGTCTGTTCCCGCATTCCCGGCGCCTCGGAGCGCGGGGTGCTCTGCCCGCAGCGCTGGGCACCTGCTGGGAGCTCCCATTGAAGGAGGTTACATTCTAATTGGATTTTCCGAAGGCAGTGCATTAGCATTTTCCATGATCTCACCCTTATTAGCCAAATCGCTGATCAGGAGGAGCGGGTTACATTGTGCTCTGTTACATTATCTGCTGCTGCAGTGTCTGCGAGCCAGCCCCAAATTCATGCAGAGATAAAAACTCCCCTCTCTCTAGCAGAGACTCGGGAGTCCATTGTGGAGCTAAGGGTGCAGTCAAACTCTAATTTTCAATAGTTCACCAAAAACAACCTCTCTCCAGAGGCTGCCTTGCTCAGTTCTTTCCTTCTGGCTCTTCCTGAGTCTGTCCTGTAAGTCAGGAATGTCACTTCTTTCATCCCTGTTGGCAGAAGCAGCATTGCTCTACAATGTAAAGGCAGAAGAATCCTTTCCCATGGGCTGTTGCCCATTGAGCCCAGAATCAAATGCTGGACATGTTTAATGCTGTAAAGTTATTATTTCTATGCACAGGCCTTTGAATCTTGAAAGGAATGGAAATACCTGTTCCAGAAGCAGAAATTATACATGCAGGCTGTCCTGTAGCTGATGCCTCTGTCTTTGCACAGCTCAAAAAACTGTTTGTGTCAGAATTGAAATCCACATGAAACACTCCTGAGCTACCATGACATCTCCTGTCCTGCCAAAATCTGTTTCTTCTTTCAGGTAGGGTCCCGGCAGGTTTGGATACCTGTTCCTCAACAGGATCTTTGTAAAACCCTGAAGGGAAGAGACAATCTTGCATGCAGATTATTAAGTAATGTTTGCTGGACACTCATCCATCAAAATTTTCTGAAAAGAATTATTGTCTAAATACAATTTCACTTAAAAAACAGGTTTTATTCTTGGTTAGAGGTTACATGACAATGTTCAGATTCGTTACAAGAATAATTTGGAAATACAAAGTCATATTCACTTAGAAGTTGAAGCCATTCAAGATTTCCACTCAAATTCCTGCAATACCAATAAGTACACACAGAAAAAACCCATGTGATGATGTTTTACATGTAATTTGAGAGCCAAAACAAAAGGAGATCTACCTGGACTCAAAAGGGGAAATGGGCACCTTCTAGCTGGCCTGGCATGGGTGGTACCCTGATCATAATTACACAAAGGGGTTTCAACAGTGAAGCAGATTTCCCCAGATTTTCCCAGAAGTAAAAATTCCCTTTTACCAACCAAGAAGGAGAGGACGGAATTCAAGGTGATCAATCAACAAACCATTCCCTGGAATCAAGTAAAAACCCTCATCATTCCCAAACAACAACAACCACCAAAAAATCACACCACTATTGGGCTTGTAAGCTCTTGAATTCAAACCAGATGTGACAGTCTGAATCCCCAGCAAGAACTGCATCTCTTCTCATCAGGCTCTTAAAGAGATTCTCACAAGGCAGCACAAACAGCATCTTCAGAACAAAGGGCAGTAACGCTTCCCAGCAGAGTTTAACTGGATCCTGAGGATCACCAGCCTGTATGAGCTGCTTTGCTATTGTCCTCACAGGGATTTTACCAGACATAAATCACATGCACTGAAGAGATAAGGAGCTAGGAGCAAAAATAAAAAAACCCAGAAGAAAACAGAATAATGAAGTTGCAAGAGTCCCTTGCAGCCTTTGGTTTAGGCTTCTCCAGGCCGGGGGCTGTCAGCGATGGGCTCCCTTCTCCAGGGGGGAATCTGCAAAAGCAAAATCATTGGGAATTACTGTGACATTGAGAAATACAACTCACTCAGGAGTCATTTTCCTCCATTTTGTAACCCTTTCACACACACACACCCCAAAGCCAACACTGAACTTCATTACAAGGCTGTAATCAAACCAGTACAAGTGGCAGTAGGAGTGAAGAAGCCAAAGAGAGTGGGGATAGCAGAGTGCTCCAGGAGTCTCCTTGTCAACCTTCCTCTAATCCTGGTGGTTGACACAGAGCAAACAGTAGGGTCTCATGGCTTAAAGCCCCCATGTAAAAATCTTTGCAGACTTTTTAAAAGATCAGCTGACATTCAGCAGTGCCCAGAGGTATACGTTGGAATTAGGTGCACCCAAGAGAGCAGCTAAATCTGACAGAGGGAATAATTAGTATCCATGGCAAAGCAGGTGTCTGTGGTCCAAAAATGTGTTTGATAGTAAGTCACTCAAGCTAGGAAAATAAAACAAAATTGAAGAAAGGAAAGATGCTATTGCTGGTGCAACACATGCTTCCTGAAGCTTCAAAAGGTTTTGGAAAAATGCTCTGATACATCTCTAGTAGGACAAGCAAATGCAGTCACTATTTAACTTAAAGAGAAAACATCAGGAATGATGAATCCTGATCTGTTGGCTCATAGAAATAAAATGATCAAATCCTGCAGCTGTTTAAATCACATATCCTGTTCCTCTTCCCAAGAGACTTTTCTGCCTGGTACTCTGAAGGACTACAACACATTCTGTGATCTTCAGCTCAAGCTGACTTTTAAAAGCACTTTAACTTCACATGCTCTGGAGTTAGGAATCAGAACTGTGCTAATGGCCTTTTTGCAGTAGCAGAAATCAAGCTGGATCAGTAAAAATACTGGAAATAATCACATTTTCATTCCCAATGGGGATGGCAAGCTGCTAATTAAATCTGTCTTGACTACTTGGAAGCACTGATAATTTCTCATGTAATGCATGCACTGAGGAGATGCTAATACCAAAATGTTAGGGGTCTGGGATTTTTTCCAGGAAAATTAAGATGTCAATTAATTGACTTTTTTTTTTCTGTCTGGTTTTTACTGAAGACCTCCACAAATCCATTTTTTTCAGTTTTTCATATTTCCCCCCCTCTCCCTACAGATGTCATTATTTTCAGTGGCAAACCCCACACTTCTCCCTCCTCTTCTTCCAATTAGCTGTAATTATAACAACATTAGCAGCAAATTAGGTGCCTCCAGGGCAAAAATCTGGGAAGCAGCAGACTGTGGAAAGGAAGAGGAGATGAGATTCTAATGGAAGTAAGCAGGCACATCCATGTGCTCATCTGGGCACCCTGAGGGCTGTGCAGGTTGAGCTCTGCTTTCCCTGAGCCTGCCAAGATGAGGAGGTGACCAGCTGCTGCCACAAGCCCCCAGAGCTACCCCTGGAGAGGCAAGCAAAAGGCTCCATTTGGGCTTCTCCCCGTGCCTGCCATCACTGGATCCAAGATAAAAACATCCAGCTCAGACTGAAGAAACCCTTTGGTTGTATCTGATGCTCTGAAGGGCTAACTGGGGTCCTTAAATGCATCTACTGGGAATGTTTTTTCCAAGGGAAAAAATGCAGTAGGATTAATTGTGCAAATGAAAAAGCCAAGACATGCCAGCAGTTGCAGCATGCAAAAGGGTTCTTGCCCCGAGTAGGCTTTTGAGCAATAAACCTTTTTTCCAGAGAATTTTGCATTAAATGTCTGGGTCCAGGGAAAATCTCCAAGATCAAGCTCTTTTTTACAACTGTCTTTTCAATTTTGCACAGTTGAATAAGGAAGGAAGTCAATACTGCTTGCCAAGTAAAATGACATTAAGTACATTTGCTGGAAATCTTTTTGCCTTGCTCCTTAAAAATTAAAGAAAAAAAACCAAACCTTCAAATCAACAACAAAAACCAAACAGAACAATATAACCAAGAACAAAAAGGTCAGAATATGACATCAGGAGTGTCACAGAGCACAGAGAGACCTGGGAGCTAAATTTCCTCCTAAGGCAGCACTGCTGGTCCAACAAGACAAGGCTGGGAGAACTTAATCATTTTAGGACTAAGATTTCCTGCACAGCAAGGTACCTGGGGAGGGATCAGTCCAGAGCTGGAAAAGAAGAGTTATTCTTGGAAATACATAGGGATCTTAAAGAAAACACCTTTGGTTTTTTGGAGGACAAGCTGAACTTGGCTATGGGGTTCTAAGGAGCTTTTTGAGGGTTGGGGGTTTTTATTTCCTCTCATTTTGCCCACCCTGTTTCCCTCATCCTTTCCTGATTTCTGATGAATTTATTCCCAGTTTATTAGAAATGGCTCAAATCTAAAAGTGCCAGGTCCAAACTATCACACAACCACAAGAGCTCAGTGCTGGACACACCATTGCATAAGTGATCCTCTGCCAACTACCAGAACACATCTCTGGGGAAAATAACAGTCTGGAGAGCAAACTTTAGACAATAGCGTCAAATAGTTTCATCAAATTTCTGTAGCAAAGGGTTGGGGTTTTTCTTTAATTTAAAAAATTCTCCAGAGATAATCCTATATCTATAGATGATGGCAAAAAATTGTTTTTAGACAAAAGAGAAAGACAAACTGGGCTTAACGAGGGCAGCAGTCCTTTGAGACAGCCTCTTCTTATCATGGGAGCAGCTAAAGAGAGTGGAGCGAGTCAAAAATACAGATATGGTTAGAGGAGAAGCAGAAAACATGGGATTGCAGCTGGTCACAGAAGGACCCCTGCAGAACCCAAGCCAAATGCCAAAGTACCTGAGTGCAAACACCTTCCTCCCTCACAGGAGAGGGAGGAAAACACAATGAAGGTGCCTCTATACAAAACTACAGAAAAAATGACTAAGTCCCGCTTAGTGACATACACCTTTAAAGTCCCAATTGCATTATGAGACTCTCACAGATGTCAGATCTCTCTAAACCAGGCTTTTTAAATGAAATATTATCAGAAGTATTGGTTCCCCAACTCATTTCACTGTGTTCAGCTCTGAAGTTACAACCTGTGAGCCAGCATCAAAGGAAAATTTGTTAAGGGAAATTTAAAGGTTTTCCCTAGAAACATCAATCTACTGAAATAGCATTCCTAAAGGAAACTGTTTCATGCCTAAAAGTTGCTTCCTTCACTGCTGATTTGTTTCCTATAATGAAGACCTAGCTCAGCAGAGAGGAGATGTATCTGTCCATTTATAATCTACTGAGAAAATGAAGGATGAGAACTGAGAACCAGGAATGCTGCTGCACATGCTGGCTCATTAGACCCACCAGTGTAATTAGCACTTGTACAAAATGGAGCAAAGAAATGGGCACATCAAGAACTCTTGCTCATCACATATTCTTGGAGCTTCTATCCTGGAAACCTTTCCCAAAATACTTACAGGCAGATTTAATATAGACGACTATATATAATACATAAAGCCAGGCTAGTGACTCAAGAGTGTAAGTTTGACCTCTGTGTGATCAATGGATAAATGATCAAAATCATCTGTTTCAGCAGCCAGGATAAAGAGAATAAGAGCCCAGAAGGTGTTAAAGCAGACATCCTACACTGCACTATTAAGAAATCCTCTTTAAAGGGTCTGGAGCATAAAGGGAAGGGAAAAGTCTCCAAGTATCCTAATCCCTGTCCTGTTGAGAAGGAGTTGTTTGGATTTTCTGGGCAAGGAACAGAAATAGAAAGAGCACAGATTTTCAAGAAGTTTTTCTCAGGTAGTCAAGTCATGTAGTCCAGCAGGGTGGAAGAAGAGCTCTCCTTCTCCAGATCCCCCAAGTGCAGTGCCCTGGACCACAGCTGCAGTTGGTGGCAGGACTGGTTTCATTCCCTGTTAAAAACATCCTCCCTGTATCCTCTGGTGCAATAAATCACTTGGAGTTTGAGTGGGAGGAATGGCAAAACTCATCTCCTGTTCTGTTGTGCAGGCACAGCGCTACTTTCCCTGTGACCACATCTGAACTCTCCAAAGAGCTGCTGTGTAATTATGGGATGCCCATCAGCCATTTTGGTGAGCCACATCCCCACTCTACCCTCTCTTCTGGGCAAACATGGATGACAGCAAATAATGGAACAGTTCCTCCGTAGCCATCTTCCTCTTCCAGATGTAACACAACAGCTTCTGGACTCAGCAGTCCCTGCCACCCCATGTGGTACCCACTGGCACCAGATTCCCACACAGAAGAGATTCCTTGTGGTGTCCATCTTTTGAGTGGTCTGAAATAAGTACTTCAAAACACCCAGGAATGATTTCAAATCCAGCTACAAAAATTAATTACTCCTCCCTGTTTCCAAAAAATACTTTGTTACTGACCCTTTGGCAAGTATTTAACTCTGCCCACTTCCAAGGTTCAGTTTTCAGACCTGGCACCTGAACCACCAGAACAGACCAAGAACAGCAATGGGCATTTTGTCTTTAAGGTGAAACAACATCCTGAAGCCTGCACTTTGTTACCAAGGACTCCTAAACGTGCCCCTGCTGGCCCCCTGTTTTGGCACTTCATTAAATTTGGTCTTTGCTGGAGCAACAGAAGCTCTAAGGAGAATTCTGAGGGTATCTTTTCTTTAGGACTATTACTAGGTGTTTAATGAGGCAAATGTGTGATCCTATAATGTGTAATAGAGATATTTTATGAATTACAACAAAGCTATAACGTAGAGGGTGTTACATCAGAAACCTCACCTGTGGTGCACACACACACCAAACCTTGACTCTCCAAGGCAAAGCTGTCACATAAGCACTCAACAGACAGACAGGAAAGTTTACTCTACATCCCTCAAAGGCCTCCATTTGAAAAAAAAAAAAAAGGCCATTTAATACATGCTCTGTACAGCTGTTGTCTTACCATTTGCCTTGTGCTGCACATCTGGCGGAAGCTGGTCTGGAACATACCACTGATAGTCTGGCTGCACAGAACAATAAAACATTATTGCAGCAATATGGACTTCCCAGGCACTTCAAACACAAGAGCAGTGACATGATAAAAACATAATTGTGCTGTGAAGCCTCTCATCAGCCATACAAAAGCAGTTTAAAACAAAATCTTATATTTAGGTTTGTTTCCACCGATCCCAGTCTTCCAGCTTGCTTCCTTCCCTGTGGCATCAGAAAAATTGGTGTAAACCTTTCTAGATCCCATAAATCACAAGGACACATGAAGAGAACCAAACAAGCCTTTACAAGGGCTAAGGAATAAAGTGCAGCAGAAGATACCAGCAGGCATCTCCCTCTACCAAAGAACTCCAGAGGAACCTGGCCCACTTAACAGGTGAAGCTGCTCCAGTTTGAATGCAACTAAAACAGCTGTAAAATGCTCCAGTGTGACAGGAATGAACCATGGAATCAAGTTCTCTCCCCTCCTCCCTTTGCTCACAGGTGAGCACTGCTGTTTCTATAGCATTAGCTATTATCAAATAACTTCCTGCAAACACCATGGGACAGGGAACATTCCCATCTTTCTCCTAAGAGGAAGTACTGGGAAGGTTATGTCCATGCAGACACAGCTTTGTCCAGGGAAATCTTGGAAGAAATAGTGCATTATAGTTTATACCACCCACTGTGGCAAATGAGTAGCAAATTACCACTAGAGAAAACAACTTTGGGACCAGCCATTTCAGCTGAAGCTGTGTTAGGCTGTCTGTCTGGAATAAGTAGTCCATGGAAGCTTGTCAAAGTCTAGGTAATTGCTGCTTCAAATTAGTTACACTGGAAAAATGATTCTTGTTTTGCAGAAATTACTCTGACAAAATCACTGAGTAGCCCCAAGGGGAATCTTGCAGATTTCAATTTGCAGGGAACAAATTTCATATACTCCTACAGAAGTTTTGCCTGAATTAAGATGGCAGGATGAAGCTGTAGATAGAGAAAACAGATTTAGCTTTTATATTTTGCTGTCACTCATGCTTATACAGCAGTAATCACCCTCATACACTGTCAGGAAAAAAAGGAGCTATTGTATTTCAACTTAAATTGTACCAGTCACAGGAATTATTAACTAATTCTGTGCTTGTGTGCAAACAAAGTAGACCTTGATATAAAGCTTTAAGCACAGGTAGTTTTTCAACAATGGCTCAAATTACACTCATTTGCACTGCTTTTTTGAGTTTCTGGTGAATTTTATGTTCTCTGATCAATTCTCTTTTTATGTACCTGTACCCTGCAAACTTGAATTAATTTCAAGAACAAGATGTGTATTTGACATCAGACTAACCAAAATGTTTTCACTAGAGTGTAAAAAGTGAAAGAAAAAGTGAAAGAACAGAAAAGAAGGAAAAAGCAAAAGCACAGCCTAAACATGCAGGATTATGTATCAGGACACCCATTAAATTCTAACACCTTTCTTCATTGCTAACAAATTGCTCAGGGAGGTACCCAAAGCTCAGAGCAGCAACTCACACAGGCAAAGAATTGAAAAAAAAGGGTCAGAATGAAACTGGGAGTTACAAAGCAACCAGTGAGACTGACACCGGCGCTCCAGCAGGAATGACAAAGTTGTAAACCCAGTGATCCCTCACAGAATTAGAAACCCAGATGATGAAAGTTCAGGGAGAAGAGCCAAAATAATCTGGGCCAGTATCCAAATTGCAGGGAAGAACATTCTGCAAAACTTCCAACTTTGATAAATAGGCAGATAAGCACACTCCTGAAGCACAGAAATTACTTGTCTGACCACAGCTTTTCCATTGGATTTCTACAGCCTGAAAGCCTTACATGCATTTTGCAAAAATTCAGCTATAATTTCTCAAATAATGAGCATCTTTCCATATGTGACAGCTTTACAGCCAGAATCAGACATTGTGTACTTAAAATGACATTCACCATGTTTAAATGTATTCTCAGTAGATTGGAACAAGCCAGCCCACTTAGATAACCCAAAGCAGGTCAAAAATATTCTTTGAAGCAGTATTTTCCTTGGAATAAATAACTCCCACCCACAGAACCTGCTCCAGTGGTTCTATTCTTCTATTCTTTTGCATGCTGAGGAAGACAGGACCCTGTTGTGTTCCAGGAAAAAAAGTTCATTTCCCATTATGTTAGCCACACTCAGACAGAACTTGCACTTCTGCTGATTTGGTTTTTATTGTCTTATGTTGAAGGCTCAGAGGAGATCCCCACTTCTGAAGTGGGGTAATTATACAGCTAGAAAGAGCTCCGAATGTCTGTCGTGGGAATAAATTAATCTAAGAAATCAGCAAGACTCCAATCAAACAACCTTATTTTTTATATTAACAAACAAATGTAAAGGAACCCTGTTTTTCTTCTTAGTGCTGTTACAGATAAAGAGTATTTTCAAAGGGAATTCCATCTTGATCTGCACTAAACAACACCCTAGGAAAGCACAGATCGACTTGCTGCTGAGGATGGCAGGGTGATGGCACCTGTGGTCCCCATGCTGTGAGGAAATCAGTGTCCCTGTCACACAGGGAGGGGATGGTGGGAGCCTTACCAAGCACTGCTGCTGCTGTGCCCTGCGAGGCACTGGATGTGCCCGAGGATCCGGACAGTGGAGAACCATTCCACAGCCCCCATATCTGACACATGGGGAGAGGAAGAGTGGAGCTGGGCAACGGGGCCTCTCAGGCTGTGCTGGGAGGTCTTTTGTCTGTCAAGAAAAGAAGAACAAGAATAAATGCATTAGCAGTGGAATCCAACCAACACAATCAGATCATTCATGTACAAGTGAGTTGCAACACTGCTTGTTTAGACCCTTGATACTACTTATCATTCAAGAAATTATTTAAGACAGCTGACTTGTGCCACATCAGAGTCTTGACACCTTTTATGTGAGGAAAATAGTGACCCCAAGGTATGAGAAGCACATTACTGTGTCTTTTATATTCAAAAACAATTCTGTATTTTCATTACACACAGTTGCTTTCAATAGTTTGAAGCAGAACTACATGGACAGTCACTTGCACGATAAGATAAGTAAATAATTTTGGTTTAGGTCCAAAGTTGTGTGCCTCAGATTTGGGTCTGCCTTTTCTTAGGCCCTCTGCATTCCAGTAGAGTCAACAGCAATTTGCCTAAGGACGCAGTAAGGAGGTGTAAAAGATTATTATATTCTGCGACTCTGTGAGTCACAACTAAATAATTTGACTTAAGAAAACAAACTAAGAAATATTTTATATGCTTGCTCTCATCCTTAAAACCCTCCACAAGCTCTCTTTAATCAAACCCCGAGGCAGGAAGAGACAAACAGGAAGATCTCCAGTATGAACTCTTAGTGCAGTGGGCAGCACCTGGCCTCTGACTCTTCAGCAAGACCCTACCGCCTCTGATGCATGGCTTGGTTGAGAATAAGGCAATCCTGAAGTTTCTGTGTCACAACAATGTTGGGGAGGACAATAAATCACCACAGAGCATTTTGGTAATCAGCCCTTCTTTTAAAGCATTGCACAATTTTGTCAAGACAGGAAACCTCGGAATTTCGTCATTCTTAAACGGGGATTGAGAAAGCTCAGAGTTTTGCATGCCATGATTTTACTATGGCTTCCTACTGACACTACTTTGAAGAGATAAAAAGGATGTTGCAAGAAAAAAATTATTGCAGAGGCTGCTCAGCTAATTTGTATGGAGAGCATTTTTTTCCTCAGTGATATTAACATCACTCTGTAATTCAATTGCAGAGGTCAGGATTAACTACAGAAGCTCTTTATTTCAAAAGTTGGTTTGATCTTACAGCTCTTATATCAAGTGCCAGTGAAACAATCCAAGTCCTCTGGACTTGTTTTTGGTTGTGTCTACCCTCCCCCTCCTCCATTTTCAGATATGTTTGAAAAGTTTTTGCAATAAGTACTCCCTTCATCTACTTATTTTGGAAGTCTTCTCTAATCGTTTCTCATCTTCTTACTGCATTACTTCAGAATGATTTCATCCCAGGTGCTGACCTCATATAAAATCCAATGTCAATTAATGGAAGCCAGAAAGCCTTGAGTTGTGTGGAAAGTGAGAAAAAAAAATAAAATACACATGTGCTGGCAATGGGAGCTTTCTTTTGACTCATACCTGAGAGCTGAGTTTACTCAGTTGAGATTGCAATCTCTCATTAATTTTCTGCAATGCTTCTTTCTCCTCATTAAGCCTCTCTCGGTCAGATCTCTCCTTCCTGAAGTCCTCCTCGTATATTTGGACCTGCAATCATCATGAACAGTGTGTGAGCTTCAGCAGGGGCACTTTGTGGTTTGGTCGCTTTCTAAACACTGCCCAAGCAGAAGGGTGAATTCCAAGGGGATCCCTGCTCCCTAAAATCCTCCAAACAAAAGTTTCCCTGGTCTTTTTTTGTGACTGATGCAACGTGACAAGCAATGGACATGCTCTAGTGGCACTCATCAATAGAAACCAAAATTAAAACAGTCCCCAGTGCCAGGGTTGTACAACCTTGCACATCAAAAAGCTGACTGGCAAATATCAGTTTCAAATATTATAAATGAGATAGCAAATACTAGTATCCATCTTTTTAAGGGATTAGCAGTAGGAGGACAAACATTTTACCCAACATTTTTCCAGTTTTCACTTCAGTTATGGGCACTTTTAACTCCCTCCTGTATACCTCAGGTGCAAGGAGTTAGAGAAGAACCTCCCCAGCCCAATGTAGAGGCAGAGGGGAGCATAATGTACACAATTCCAAATGGAATGGAATGTACACATTTCCCAGTGGAAATACAGATGTTTGACCCTGTTCCTAGAAAATAAGCTGCCTTGCAAATGCTGAGGGATGCAGTGGCTTAGCTCTTTTTTATGTGGTCAGGAATCACAGAGCTTCATCCCATTAAAAAAATATCTGACCACCCCAGGCACAGGCAGTGAGCACACAGATTTGGAAACAAAACACAAATCCATAAATTATTTGGTGTTAAGATGACTGACTTAATTCTTCAGCTAACAGGCAGGCATCCACCTGGTGAGAAGCTGGAGGCTGGTGGCACTTCTACTGACAAACAACAGCAAAGGCATGTTTGGGTGGGAACCACCACCAGAACTTTCAGAAGCCCTTTCATGTCCTCTTGGTTACCCACTAAAGCCTGCTGACAGTCTCTTCCCAAAAAACATGCTTGCTGTGCCTCATGCCCTGCCCATTGGACAGATCCAGTTTTCTTTTTGCTGGAAGCAGTGCTATGACTTCACAGAAGGACTAGAAAAATGTTCATACCTCAGGGGAAGAAAAAGGCCAGCACAGGGCTTTATGTGAAGAAAAAAATCTTTTCCTGACCCTCTGAAGCAGAGACAAAACTGTCACTTGCAGAAATGCTTGCATCCCTTGTCCATCTACACACTTCTCAATGTTTCCTCATTTTTTCTCCCTCAATTCCTTCCCTGCTGTCCCACCTCCCTCCCACTCCCCAGGTGCACAATCTGCTAGAGCTGCAAGGGAACCTGTTTGGCACAGTTTTGTCATTTATGCTGAGATAAATGTCCTGTCCCTGAGAAAGAGGGGACACCTCCCAAGGAACGAATGCCTTCATCTCCACTGCTGTGACCAGGGATGGGCTGATGACAGCCAAGCTCCTGTGGGACCCTGTCATGTCACTCTTTGTCCCAGGAGTCCCTCCTCCATCCAGTTGGAGCTTTCTGCTCCACTTCATGTAGAAGGAAGTCTGGACTCTCTGTACTGATTTATACAACTAGAAAAACACATTCATAAAATAGATACCTCATGAGAAATTTGGAAAAAAAACCTGGTTTACTCTATTTTATTGTGTAGAATGAAATAACTCATTACTGTACAATCAAGTGCAGGACTTTGCTCTCCAGCATGTGGCAAGCATTACATTAGAGAGCAAAATCTGGCTCTGCTGTCAAACGTGACAGAAACAAGTATTTTATTCCCATTGAATAAAATTCCCATTCTGATCACATCCATTTGTGTGTCAATAATCTTAACCCTGACACTATCCAGGACAACAGACCTGAAGTGTTAAAATTCTCTGAAAACTATATTGTTGATTCTTTCATATGGAAAGAAAAACGGTGCACAAACTATTTGAGTGGCTCAGAACAAAGATTAAAAAATAGATACAAATCTATAGTCCTTGGGATGCAGCTTATGAACGCAAATGCTTTGCCTCACACTTAGAAAAACTTAGAAAAATGCTTTGCCTCACACTTAAAAAAATTGCAGTGCCAATGCTCTAGTTTTCCAAGACTAGGATCTTTGGATAATTCTCTACAGTGGCAACTTGTAAGATAAAAGGATCAGAAAACACAAGCAGTAATTAATGCAATTCAGCATTCCTCCTAGATGACATTCAGCCCCTAACAGAGAGCTGGCAGGACACCTCCAGGAGTCAGGAGAGCCATTCTGCTGCTTGGGGTCCTCCACAAGCCCTTGCTCTGGTCCTCTGCCAGGACTCAGTTCCACTTTGTGGACTCTGCTGTGATGACAGCACCTGGGGAAACATCATCCCAAAGGGCTGTGGCTAAACTGGCTCTTCCTTTCAGGAGCTCCACACAGCACGTCTACCAAGCACAGTCTCTGGGAGAGAAGGCAAAATTATGCTGTGTGAGATCCATCCAGGCTCACTTGAGCTGTTCTTACCTGATGTTTAAGAACTTCCAGTTGGGTTCTCATCTCCTCAATGCTGTTCCTGTCACCCTTCCCTAGGGGAGTCCCAACAACGGGTGGGTGCTGCTTTTTAAACGTGTCCAGAAGGGCCTGCAACATCAAACAGTAAAATTACTAAACAGAGATTCACTACATGAAAAAGAAAAAAATATCCTTTAAGATTATTAGGAAGAAGTCTCCCTTTCACTTGTAGTTGCTTCAATTATACACACTGGATATAAACCCACTTTACTACAGTAAAGTCTGACTGAAACGTTTTTTTTTTTTTTTCCCACTAAAAGTAGGGATTCCTTCACATGGAACAAAGTAAAACCTCCAGTTTGAGAGGAAGTTGTGTCGTCTCCATAGTTTGTCACTAGAGGGAGTTACGAATACACACAACACTGGTACCACTCTTACCTGTTCTACACTGAAATTCTGCCACGGTTCTTCTCAGACTTTATTTTTACAGTTACTACACAGCTCTCCCTTGAACTGGAATAATTAAATCACTCCTACATCTCTCTGTCTATAACCACACATTATAATTATATATTCTTTTCTCTACTCTAGCACAAATATTATTCAGTTCTTTTCATTCTCTCAAATAAAATACAAATCCCTGACTTTATCCCTTTTACAAGTTTACCCTTTTAGAAGTTGAATTCATGCTGATGATCCTCAGCCCTCCCTTGCTGCCCAACCTCAAGCAGGAAGGATGGAAGATATTTGGAGGGGGAAGAGGCAAACAGGGAAGAATTGGCCAAGCAGGAGAAACACTATCCAAAGTAATCCAAGATTGGTATCAATTATCTAAGGCCCAACAAAAACCAAGCACTTTCCATGGAAGCATAGAAAAGGAAAGCTTTTTTATGTGATGAGGTGCTGCCCCTAAGAATTGTGCAGAAGTGAAGCTGGTTATAGTAGTGACAAAGTTGGTGTTCCATGCCAATACATTCAGAAGGTTGAACCCAAAACTGGGAGGGTGAAAATACAGACACCCTTCTTCTGCCCCTTTGAATCCCCCTTTAATATCTTTTTGAGGAGGTTCTACAACTCAGAATTATGGAGGGGGAAAAAAGAAAATCAATCTTCAAAAAGTTAATGGTAAGGTGAAGATTATTCCTAAACTGCATTTGGAACACAATACTGTGAGACCCTGGTTTATCCATTCACACAACAAGAAGAAAAAGTTGATTTCAGAGAATTTGTAAGAATTTCAAGTGGCTGAACCTGAGATAGCAGATAAATAAAGTTAAAAGGGCACAGAGGGTCCCATGCTGTCTCATGTGCATTCATGACATGAGATTTTAAGGATGCAAATGCACTGAAAATCAGTAAATTACTGTTGGGAAAGTGTATATGAAATTGATGCTTCATTTAAAACAATGGTGTATATACCCCATCTGTCTTATTATAGCCACATCATAAGACAGCAAAATAAAACATTTATATAAGCTGTTTAACAAACAAGGCATTGAATTCAAGTTAGACTGGAGCTTTGAGCAAGTCCTGTCAATGCCTTTCAAAAAGAGCTAGAGATCATGGGTTCTGTCAGATTTTTTCTTATGGCAGCATTATGTTTTTGGCTTGACTCTTGTACATCATGGCCCTTTAGCTTATTAAAACACTTATTCAAGTTACACAGCAATGGTTACTGCAATGCATTTCCTCAGGAAGTCTTTGTGGTTCACCATTAAATACAAAATTGTTAGAAAACACCCACTGCTTTATGTGATCTTTTGATTAAACAAAATTACATTTATTACTTTACCTCAGTTAAAAAAAAATTCCATGTAGCTAATTAAAGACAATTTCCTCAGTGAGACATATATACACATAATATTATAGGTATGAATATGTGTATATATGGATTTAAGCACTAGGACAGGACTATGTCTTCTGAAGAGAAGCCATCATTCTCCAACAGAGAATAGATGTAAAATGAGTTTTTAAGCTGTGTGACCTTTCTTTTCAACCACAGTCTTTCACTAGGTGCATACAGAAGCATCTTTGTGCCATTTCCTCTATGCTCTGAGGAGGGAGGGTGTAGGAAGGGCTTAGACATGACATGTAGAGAGGTTTCATAGGAGAAGCCAAATACTCTCTGAATTTTTCTCCCTGCAATGCAACCCTGCTAGTAGCCAAAGAATGAGACCCTGCATGCACATGTCTGAGCTGAAGTGAGTTCTTGCTCATTTGCCCAGCTCCCAAATGGTGATCATGTGTTTGCCACCAGGTTGTTCAGAACTGAACAGCTGCTATCTGGTAGGTGAGGGACAACAGAGATCCCAGAATTAGAGGAATCAGTGGCTCACTCCTGCTCCTACCTTGTTGAGACGACTTATTTCACTCTCATAGTATTCCTTCCTCCTGGTCATTGAGGCATTCTTCTGCTTCAGGAGCCTGTTCTCTTCCTTCACTTCATGCAGAGCTTCACTAAGGACCTCTGTATCTTTCTGGGATGCAAAAATACAGAGAGATGATGCAGAAATGCAGATGGAAGCATTTTTCAAGAACAATTTTCCAAATAATCTTCTGTCTGACAGATGTGCTGCATTTTTGTTGTCCCAAACACAGTTGGGAAGGGAGGCAGCTGGAAGGCAGATCATTAGTACACCCTGATATGATAAAGTCTGTAGAAATTGTTTTGACCACTCACCATATGATGAGGCAGAGACAACATACCAGACTAAATCCCTGCTCCCTGCAGTTGCACGAAGGCATGGGAAGGCTGGCAGGCCAAGCAGATCAAAATCACATCCACAGTTACCCCAGACCTGCATTTGTCTTATGTGCTCAAAGAATAAGACCAGGGCTAAATGCTAGTGGGGGCCCAGCCATTCCAGTGCCATACAAATTTGAAGATGAAAACAGTAAAAAAAAAAAGTATTTCAAATATTTTCCACAGCTGCTTTATGTGAATAAAAAAGTGAGATCCAACAATCACAGGCACAGCACACCACAGGAATGGGGTTTTTTTCTGTGCAAAAGGCTCATCTCTGTGCAGCCAGTCACAGTTTGGGCTCATCAGAAATTCATCACTGTGTGCTAATTGAGCCAGTGAAAAACACCCCTGAGTAACTTGCTTACACATGAGGAAGCTTGACTCTACTGTGTTCTAACTTAGCTGGGACATTTCATTTTCTCCAAAAACCAGGCAAGATTAGCAGGGTATCTCTGCAATAAGTACAGGAACTCATCCAGCAGCTAGCTCAAGCTGACAAGCACTTACTGGCTGAATGTGAAACTTTCAAGAAATTGCGGATTTAAGACCAAAGTTCAATACTGGTTAACCTGTCCCCCCCAAAAAAAATTGGACTATATTGTCATTTAGTTCATTATTCATGTATGCAGTAAAGAAATCTCAGAGTGTACTACTGATCCTTATTTTTATGAAATGGTAATTCTTTTTCATTAAAAGTCAGGCAGTAACATGAAAAAAAATATGGACTATCTCACTCTGAATCAACACCCAGAGCAAATACAGGCAGTGATTCAGCAAGTACATAACATAGTTTGTCTTAAAACATGTAAATTGCTCTGTGGATTTGGCATCAATTATGTGCTTAGCTGGGACTACTTGATAAGCAAATAAGATGGATGTTCTGCTTTTGCAGATAGAAGCTAAGGAGGCTACATTTCTTTTCCTGCAGCAGCTAACTCACATCTCATCTGAGCCTGGAAGTGATGCAACTGCTGCTTGTTTCAGGTTACCATGTGAATAGAGAAGGCCGACTTCAGCCATCATCACCATCCAGCACCTCTCACCAGAGGTCATGAAGTACATGACACCATGAAGCAGAATGAGAACAGGAAGCACCACTCTGTGGGGTTTCTAAAATGGAGCACCAAGTTTTATGTAGGTGCTCATCATTCAGGCTGGTGGTTTTACTGAGGTGGGAATCCAGCTCAGGGATCTAAACTGAGATGCAAAAGCCCACAAGGAGTCCTGAGAGAGCAGCCCAAGCATGCTGAGGGTGAGGTGAACACCACTCTGGAGCAGCTGATCAGCCCAGACACTTCCAGCCCTGATAACTGACAGTATCAGAGATATTTGCAGGGAGCTCAAATAGCTGCATGTGTACGAGAGGCTGTACTGTTAATACCAAAACCTGGGGGGCTGGAGCTGTATTCACACCTTGAGTATTTCTTCCAAGTGCTTTTTGTAACATCTGCACTGCTGTTCCTCTTCCATTTGAAATAACTGCAGCATTTTCGTTCACACAGAAATTCACCCTGAACTGAACTGTGAGGAGGGAAATCTGTGCACTAGAAATCAACCCACTCTTTACTTCCCCCCACACACACACACTAATGTTGTGCTGTCTGCCACTCATATGGAAATTACTCTTTCTCTACACACAGTTCTGTGATGAGGCAGCTCAGCAGCCTGGGGAGGATAATGAGGAGCCACAGTCTCACCTCTGGGCTGTGCACAACCCACGCAAGGGGAGAAAGATGAAAGGCAAGAGAGAGCTCAGCACAGAGCACACAAGGGGTGCCACAGGGCACCCTCCTACCTTTTCCTGCAGCAGCCTCTCTCTGCCCAGCACTTGCCACCTCTCCTCCTCTGGATTCTGCCAGTGCCTCTCCTGCTCCAGCTCACTCACTCTTCTCTCTGACACATCCAGCCTTGCCTTCATCTCTGCCAGCTGGAAAGCAAGTGACACACCATGCTGGGCTCACTGGGCACTCTGAAAGGCACAGCACCTTCAGGGTGTTGAGCCAGAGGCATAAAACAGTTATTTATTCCAAAATAAATGATGAACAGCCATTTGGATTGCTCTTACTCTTTGGGGGAAAAAGGAAAGGAATGATTCAGATGTCAGCAAAGCTTTCTGGAAAATATTAGAGAGAATTTTTTCCTGATAAGCACGTGAATTCATTCTATAAACTTCCTGTTCATAGCAGGAAACAGTAGATGAGAGGTGTCAGTCAATGAACCAACTTGGGTTCTGGAATACCAGATAAAATTGTAAGCACTGAACTTCACAGGGCAGCTGATGATAATGTCTGCAGCAATGACACCACACGGCCAAAAGTAAGGAATAACAGCTATGTCAATTGGATCTTGGATGGAAAAAAACAGAAATTAAAATATTTCTTTACTATTCCTTTTGAGAGTCTCTGCTTACAGAGGGCAACTTTCATGAAGAATTTATCCAGATTTCACAAGAGATGGGACGAGAACCAGCTTAAGTGTGATGATGTGGATCAGGGGCTGGGCACACCAGGCTGATTTTCAGTTAATTGTGCTCTCAGTTATGTGCAATTTTCACTACAGTGTGGAGGGCATGAAGATCTCTGCTGTCATGTGCACACTGACCCTACAATTTTAGGGACATTTTGCTTCTCTGGTTAGTTTGTTCTACTGAAGACTGAGACACATTGGCTTCACTTTTATATGAGGAAGCTTTTTCAATTTATGAGCTCAAGTAAGATATTTACCATGGCTATGCCTGGCTGGTATTTAAACACATATTGGCAGGTGGCACACATATTGCAACAGAAGTTGTCAGCATTGTTACCTGCTTTTCATAAAGTTGTTTCATACTTCTAAACTGATGATCCCATTGCTTGTTCACCTCCAAAAGCTGTAATTACCAGGAAGGCACAGTAAATAACACTTATTTCAACATTTTCAGCAAATCAAAAACAGACTGGCATTCTAATCCTCTGTCAGTGAGTGTTCCCAACCTCCTCATCATCTGGCCAGTTCATTAATTTCAGAAGAAGCAAGTTGAAGGTTTGGCAAGCCTTGCAGCCCATCTGCCAGTGCTTTGGTATTTCGGTTAAAGCACATGAACATTCAGGAAGCAGCACTCAGGAAACATGCAAATACACAACAAGCTACAGGTGGATCATTTGCAACACTGCACAAATCCCAGGCTTCAAATCCTACATGGCCAAGGGCTTTCCTGCTAGTTTTCTCCAAGTTCCATGAACATATTTCCAATTAAAAGGTCATTGACTTCAAACAAATGAATGGAAGACTCCCACTGACAGGGATACTACTGAGTGCAAACCCTGCTTGTTGTTCCTTGGCCTTTAGCAATAGTGGTCATTAATAAAATTTGCCCTTTCTACTAAATAAACCTCTGCTCTTCCAGATCCATAGGCATGGTACAATCAGTCACTATGTGCTTAGGGGAATATTTAGGATTACCTCTCGTCTCTGTCTTTCCAGTGTGAGGATCTGTTGCTCCAGAGAATTGGATGATAAAGGCTTCTTTTTGCTCAGTAATGTGTGCCTTGACTGGAGAAAAGCAATGTTCAAAAATTAATGCTTCTGGCCTGTTCTCTTCAAGATTCTCAAGTAAAGTTCCCATCCATCCCTGACAGGTGCACATAAAGAAACTGATAGAAACATTTTCTTACACCAAATTTGTATCTAAATACCTTCACACCTGCTGGCAGCTGATTCTGGAGCATACATCTGCTTTAAACCCACTCAGGCTGTGTTTTAATTGAAGCATTATGCAAATAGCCACCGAAATAACTGAAATGGTATCTATTTGTACCATCTGAGACACAGAACACAGAAGAGGATTTTAATTATCTTGCAGATGGCAATACAAACAAGTAGTACAAGCCACAGAAGTTGAGCATGACTTGGAGAGGGTGTAAGTAATTCCCCTCATTTACAAGAACTTAGAGCAATTAGTAGGAATGCCCTGGTAAGTGCTTGCAAGCAACACAGAAAACAAATGGGCCATTTGGAGAAACTTAGAACATCAGTCTGCAATTGTTCCATTTTTTAAAGTGTGGAGTTTCACCCATGCAGGACAGCAGCAGCTAGACCCTCATTTTTATAATAGCAGTGTTCTATATCATAATTTCCAAGAAGTTGCTGTGGATTATCATGAAAACAAACATGTGATCTATTAGCAAGAGACAGAGAGCTGTACTGGAAAAAAAGAGACAACCTCATAAAAACAGAACATGCTTTGGTCAGATACATGCTCAGGGATTTTTGTTTCCCTCCCTAAATTCTCAACCACTGTATGAAAAACAAGAATAATGGTGTGAGCACTTCTGAGGTCTGGAATAAATTTTCTGTAGATACAGAATTTAATGCTGAATACCAATGAAGATCAAAGGACAGTTTTGCTGTGTCTTTTCAAAGGCAAAAATCCCAACCACATATTTGCCCCATGGCCAGTCCTGCTGAACTCTGATGTGAAGCCCTGACTTCCAAGCCAGAAAACACTTAATCCCTCTTCTTGTAGCTCACTGACATGTTTAATTTAGAGTATCTGAAGAAATACCTGGCAGCTAATGGAGTTATTCCCATTCTGAATTGCTTTCAGCATCTGGGCCTTAGGCATATATTGACAAGCATGCTTAAGAATAGTAATAAAGTGAATAGGACAACTCACAAATCTAACAACTACACATGCACTAGGCACTAACTAGCCCAAACACTGCTCACAGAAGTTATGGGGTCACTCAAATGAACCACTTTGCACCCTTTGTGCAACTTCTGGAGAGCAAAAAACCCCATTAGGAAAGGGCTTCTTTCGAAGAATGCTATCTGCAAAAATAATTTTAACATTTCCATCCACTCTTACACAGTTTAAATAACTCAGAAAAACCTAGTAGAGCACGAATATCAGCCCATAATTGTCAATGTACAAAGTGACCTGCACCAGCTCCTGTTCATCAGAAAACACTTCAGAGAACAGCCAACACAGCCACTTACCTGCAATGGTTCTGCTGGAGCTTCCATGTCACTCCCACCTGCCCAAGTGCATCCAAGCTGGCCTTGAGTGCTTCCTTCACTGTGGCTCTTTGGAGGAAGAAGAGCAATAAAACAGATTTTATGTTGGCTAACAGAGCAAGAGAATTTCTTTCAGACCCAGAAGATCCAGGAGTGCTGCCCGTGGGAGCAGCCACGGTCCAGATAGTAATGGTGGAATTCTGATTTTAACCTTTTCCTCCTTCCTGGCTGGGGCTTCCCAGAATGGATGAAGCACAATGCCTATGACTAATGTGCCAGGCAAGGCAGCTCTCAGCTTTGTGTGCATGGAAATCACAACTGCCTGGCCAGTTCCCCCCAGAGAGGAAGTTGCATCTAAGGGAAGGAAGGGTATTTGCTTTTTCAGTAAATAAGAGGACAGGCTTTTCTATCCCTGCTTCCAGTTATAAAAAAGGACTTGAGTAATTACAACAATTATTGACACTAAGAGTGAACTATCAGAACAGAAAAAGGAGTGAGTCACGCTTCTAAAGGAGCAATCGCAAAGTCTGTTAACAGCTAACAGGGAAAAGCATCCCCATACAAAAACCCCAAGATGTTCGGGGGAAAACCAACACTGGAAAATTGATTTGTTTCCCCAAAGAAAAGCTGCACACAGATGAAGAATGACAGATGTTTTATTTGCACTTCTGCCACTTGCCTTACCTGAGCACAGATCCAGCTCCAAGACACTCAGGACTTGGGTACTCAAAGGCAGCCAATACCCCAAACCTGTGCCTCAGGTTCCCATTTGGAGCAATATGTTAGCCTTAACAAGTTAAACTCACAGAAAAGATTAACAAAGAAAAGGCTTCCACAGACTTCCTATACAAAGACAGAATGAAACAGAAAAGAGCACAATGCTCACATCTTCAGTCTTGGAATTCTGAATAATAATGGATTTCAGAGGGAAGCATAAACGAAAAATTCTGCTCCCTATTGTGTAAACACATCTGGGTCTATGGCCTCTGCAGTGGCAGCAGAGGTTGCTTATTTCCTTTTGAAGGAGTGAAATGAAAGTTAGCCTGTGAAATTTGACATAAAATAATAGAAACCCCTCTTTCCATTTCCAAAAACAAATTTAGAGAAAGTAAAGCAATCCTGTGAAATGCTAAAATTTTGCAGCCACATTCCAGATATCTGGCTCACAATGTGTGACCAAGCAACTCCTCTTTTGCAAGATACAAACCCCAGTTTGGAAGAAAGCTACTATTTTATAATTCATTTGTATATGAAATATGTCCTGCTACCCTGAGGTTCTTTCCATTTTCCCCCTGGTTTATGGAGCAGCTGGAAAACTTGTGGTGTATCAAGAGAGAAATTCAAAACCAAAAGTTATTTTAATCAAGAAATTGGAAGAACTTCATCTGTACCTATATCAAAACTAGACATAGAGCATATCAGGTACAGCACTGAAGACCACTAACTGGTGCAGAACAGCACCAACACTGGGCACCTGCTTCATAAAAATACAATCACAAACCTTCCACATTGCACATCTGCTCTTGAGGGCGATGATGCTGTCCCTTCCCCAAGCTCCCACTCTCACCAGTCTCATCCCCACTCCAGCAGCAAGTTCACTTTTGGAGAAAGCTCAGGTTGAACAGCTGCATTTTATGGTCTGGCCTGCAAGGTGAAGCAGCCCCAGTTTCTGGTTTCCTCACGAGAGCACGCTGGGATGTGGTGAGTGAGGCGCTGAGCATCCCCGCAGTGGGGACAGAGGAGCAAACCCCAGGCTCAACCCCACTCATGAATCACAGTTCCCACTTGAAAGATATTAATGCTCAAATTACTTTGAAGAGAGGATGAGGCTGAGACCTTGGTTGATTCTGTAATTTAGGTCACAACAGTTTCCTGGAGAGCTGAGTAGTTTCCTGGAAAGCTACCTGGACATTAGAACACCAAGTTCTCTGTTAGTGATTTCTTCATGACTGCAATAATGATCACTTAAAGTGAATGATTTTACATGAAATTGGACAGAATAGAACTAAGACTGAAGTAGTTTTCAGTGCCTGTCTCATCCAGCTTAGCATTCATAGGGATAACTGGTTGCCATGTAAAAACAGATTGGATAGAGAAGAGTATGTCTGAGATCTGAATGAAGAAAAGCTATGAACAGAAGAGACGTGAGATATGAATAGAAGAAAGGCCAATGAGTAGGGAACAAAAACTCAAGCTCTTCAGAGGTGGTGGTATTATTCCAGCAAAAACTGGGAGGCTGAAGCAAAATCATTGCCTGTCTCTGTGAAAACGGTTAATAACACCAAAAAGAAAGAGAAGGAGATGACAAAATTCCTTTTCATTGATATTGCAGGGATAAAGACACAAAATTTCTTTATGCTTACTACTATCAAGAAAACCTTAGTTGTACAACAGCTCTGCAGAAACCTGAGATATGCAGAAATCCTTCAAAGAAGGACATTTTGAGACCTATCAAGTTTCAGAAATCAAAAAGCCCCACAAATCTTTTAAATCACTTATACTTGGTTTAAAGCTATTGAACAAAATAGTCAGTTTTAAATTGCTTGGAAAATTCCAGTTGACAATCAGACTGTAAATGCAGTCACAAATCTAAAAATCTGTCAGGTATGGAAAAAAGCTGCTCAGGAAGTAAATGGGAGAATTTGCTGCCCCTCACACTTCCTAAGTTAACTGCCAAGTGGCATCTTAAAACAACTTAGAAGCCTCTTATTAATTTCTATTTTATTTTCATGATAATCTGTAATTTCTATTAGTAGCAGTTTTGAGATTGTTGTTTTGTTTTCTTTTCACATCCTGTTGAAAAATTAAAAATATTTTAGTTTGTATAGGATGGGGATGATCCTATCATAATAAGATGACCTGAGCTTCCTGAGCATCAAGGCCTTTTAGGCTTCTTTGGGAAGTTTGCAGTGGGAGAAAGATCAGAGCCTTGGAGCTGTGGCCGGCACCGAACCCTCTCACAAGCCTCAGCACCACAAGATGATAAAAGTTCTCATTTTCAGAGTGCTGGATCTTAATTCTGGGAACAGCTTGTGTCACAGTATTACAAAATATCACTCAAATTGACATAATGAAAACCATTTCTCACTTCTGAAAATTCTGTCTGTTCAGTAACTGCAGTGAAACCAAGACTCACTAAAAGGCCTGATGCAATCAAATGTGAGGCTTTCCTTGATGATGATAAAATCATACAAAATGACAAAGTATTTTTTTTTTTTTTTTGCTGGCTGGTCATGCATCTGCTGTGAGGTTTGTTGGGGATTTTCTTTTATTGTAATTTTTTTAAAATGTATTGTTCAGATGCAGACTTGTAGAAGCTAGATTAACTCTGAGATGACTTGGGTTAAAATTTGGGGCTTCTGGGGAGCCTTCACTTTGCTCATGTTTCAGCTGAGCTTTGTTTATGGCTTTATTGCTGAAGGTGTTATGCCAGCAGTGCTTGCCACAATATCCATTTTCCCATTCTGAGGCATGTGGCAAAACTGTAAAAAATGAGAGATTTCAGCTCAAAAATAAAATTGGCTCTTGAACCAGAAGAAGAATCTGCCTCTTCCTGCCCCAACCGGGCCCCTGTGGCTCACCAGAGAGGTGTGCTAAAAAGGGATTTTCCCTTCAGTAAGTCTGTCAGCCTCAGCCTTTTGTGCTGCTCGGTTACATGTTCCCTCTGACAGAAAAATAGGTGCAGATGCAAATTTGTGTCTTAATATGTGGGAACCAGATAAAATTAGAGCAAGACATTGTTTCAGAGTAAATCAAAATATTTGAGCACATGCTCCTGCTTCAGGATTTCCTTTATCTACTAACCATAAGGGCAAGGCCTCCCAAGTACCCAAGCATTTGCAAACTCAGGCCTGCTGATGAAAATCCAAGTTCCATGTGAAAAGAATTGGATGACAATTTGTAAACCTAAAAAATGCAAATCTATTCCCTTTCCTGGAATGGAGAAGGCAGCATCAGAACAAGCTGCAACGGAAGGAATCAGACTGAAGAATGTGCTGAGAAGTTCATAAAGTCTTATGGAAAAAAAAATCCTGGCAAAAAGGGGAATTTGTTTACAGACACTTATGGATTTGTCTTGAAAGTGATTTAAGGTTGGATGGAAATGCCGTTCTGCAGAGTGCAATTTGTACTCCTCACTCCAGAAAAAAGTTACAGAATGAAAATGACCTGCTGTCTCTGACACAACTTCCTGATGAATGACTGACACTTATGGAAGGGTACCCTTTTGTTTCATTATTAACTTTTTCTCAACTCTTGAACATTTCAATTGCCCCTCATTTTAAGTCCTAATCAGCCAAATTTCCCAAACTGCTATTTTCTAGTGCGGGGTTTTTTTAGTATTATTTCATAATCTTCACAAATTCTACTAGGTGCTAAAAATTTGCCCTCCTTTCCCAAACCACAACCCAAGACAGGTACTCCTAGCACCTTACACTGAGGTTGTTGAAGCTCAACAGGACTGTCAAGCTGTCACTCACTTGAAGCCCAGCTCAATAACCAGCCAAGTGAAAAGCTGCTTGACTTAGAAATATAAATAAAAACCAGCCAGCACGTGTCTGGTGCAGAAATATCATGAAGCATCCCTCTTTAAGCTCTGAAAACCACACACACACACATTTTAAAGGTAAGAAGTGCCATAAATGCAAAGAGCATAAAAGCACCACAGATTAAATACAGCCTTGGTTTTCTGTGTGAAGCACTGCAGCACCCCTCAGAAAGGGTCCAGGTGAGCACATCCTTTCTCTTTGCTCCTCACACTGCCCATATCCCCCAAATCCTTCTGCTGGAGAGAGGCTAACCTGCGGATTTCCATGGATCATTTGTGGCTTGTAATTTCACAGCTTAGTTCTGCACTGACTTGTGCTTCACCACTCTCGTTTCTCCCCCGCCTCCGGGAATCCCCATCCCTCCCTGTGGCTTCCCTCTCCCCCACTGGTTTCTAATCCCACCGTTCTGACCCTGCGGTGTCTCCTTAGGCTGGGCTCAGCTCCGTGCCCCGAGGTCATGAGTCATTCTGGAGATGGCGGTTTGCATGTGAAAGGAGCTGTGTGTAATTTCGGATTTCGTAGAAGAGAGTCATCTCCCTTTTACCTCCTCACCAGTTTCCTGCACCGTGCCCCGGCGTGCAGCCTTCAGAGTTTTCCTTTCCGCATCCCGTGCTGGAGTGGCACAGGTAAGAGCGCCACCCCTTGCAGGTGGATCATTCACGGTTTAATCACTGCTCTCCTCTGCACGCCTCCCTCCTCCTGTTCCTAGCTTGTGGAAAACGGGGAAATTCCTTCTATTCTTGCTATTTCAGGGGAGAGCAGTGAAACTGAGAGGGAAACCCAGAACAAGTTTCTGTCAGGCTTGTTAAGCACGGCTTCAATGCAGGCGAAGACAATTGCCTTAGCAGGTGGCTTACGATTTTCTGTTTGCAATACCACAGAAGTGTGGGTTTGAATCATCATCATTTTCCTTCTCCTCTCTTCCTATTCATCTGAAAGCCTTTCTGACACTTGCACAGGTTTTTGTGTCCCACACCTCTGCTCATTCCCAGCTAAATCAGAACTTGCAAATGCATCAAAAATGACAGTGTTTTGGGGGTTACACAGTTCCAAGGATCTGTGTTATTCAAAAGGCACATCTGGTTATAGGGTTTGACACTTAGGATAATAACCAGTGGGTTTAGCTGACCTTTTAAAGCACCTTCTCAGTCACTCTTCCTCATGCTAGAAAGTAGCTATATCAGGGAAAAAAAATGTGTAGACAAGTTCATTGCATCATTTCAGAAATCCTAAAGTTTCATGCATAGTCAAGTCCCACAGAGAACACCCCCTGAACGTTCTTTCCTGGCAGATAAACATTGCAAAAGCACACTGTGATTACCTTAAGGGAACATGAAGTTCTCTGAGGGCTCAGCCTCTCTTGGGCAAGAGGTTTGGGGTCCTCAGATGACTCCAAAGTGTTGCTCTTCCATATCAGGTTCCTTATTTCAACATCCAGCTCTTTACTTTCACACCTGCTTAGGAAGAAAAAGCAACGTTAAAATTTACACAAGAATTTGAGCCTTTCTTCTGAATGCGAGAATGGAGCTGGTCCTGCACCAGGCTCCAGCTTCCTTCCTTCCTGGTAACACAAGCAGGGAGCACCAGGGCAGTGACACACAATCTTCGTGTGCCTTGTGGCAGAAATTGATGTAAAGTACTTACACAAGAAGCCTTTATGAATTTTACCACTTTTCACCTGCAAAATCCAAATGGGCCCTTTTGGGGATTATATTAAGACTGCCACGTGCCCTAAACCTCAGTCAGAGTTTCAAGAGTTTTAAATTCAGCTTCAGCAAAAATGCTATCAGAATAGCTGCATAGGTTTAGAACTGCAAAACTAGGTGCTCAAAGTCTTTTGAGTTCAAAAATCTCAAAGTTCACAAAGTCTTTTAATGGCACATTTTGTTTTCTCTAACACTTTGTAGCAGACACCTGACATGCATTTTCAAGTTTTTTTTTTCCCTTAAAAATTCCTTTTAAAAACATTCACATCTTATAAAAAAAATTATCTGTTGAGAGCACTTTTATTTTTTTGGTGGGAAAATTCTTTTCTTTCAGTCTCACTGCTAAGGACATACAGGACTTAGGTGCACAAAAGGGCTTTTTCCAAATTCACAGAACAAACTTGCAACCAGGGCTGATTCGCTTGATACACTGTCATGGTGGAATGTGACTTCCAGATAATTAACTGAGATACAATTAGCACAAGCCCCTAAATCTCCTAGATCAACCCAAGTTATCAAGCAAGATTTATCTCTTTTGCAAGCTTAGACTTCATTGCCTAATCAACTTAAACCAATTTTAAATATAATTAATGCATGACCAGAAAGCAAACTGCAAGGCTCAAAAAAAAAAAAAAATCACCAACCTGTTATAGCAAGATTACTTCTTGATTTCAACAGAAAATACACCATTTTTTTATTTGAATCACCAGAAAAACTGAAAGCTGTAGGAGTTTGTCAATTATACTTCCTGAAGTTTAGACAGGCAATCCTCAGGGAGTGAACCGCAAGTTCTGAGGAAACTCTTGAAGCGAAATTGATAAAATTGCCAAATTGCCCAATAAACAAACCCATTTATCTTAATCAACGAGTAAATAAGTGTGATGAATTTCATGCTGATTGATAGCATAGAATGATTCATTTAATGCTCCATATTTAAAACACAGGCACTGTAGCAGAAATGTTACAGTCACTTCACTAAGCACTAATGTTACTTCACTAAGCATGGATACAAAATCATTTCCAAGAGGAAATAAAATACCAAGAGTAGCAAATAAGGGCTAGTAAAACTCTAGAGCTGGGTTGTTTGGGTTTTGGTTTTTTTGACTTGCTGCTGGTACTTAGATAAGCTGTACCTTCATAGCCATGAGAACTAAAAGCAAGACCTTGCCAAGGCACATTTTCATGAGCTCCACGGTGGTGCAGGAGGCTGCAGCTGCTCTGAGGGCTGCTGGAGGGTTCCATAGGCTCAGCCGTGCGTGGGTGGCAGGTGAGCCCCAGCAGCAGCATGGAGAAAACTGCGGGAGGAAACAACGAACCTCAAGGCAGACATCCAACCCTCCTCTGACTGGCTAAATGTTGCAAAATCCTGGATAAGCCAGAGCAAGGGGCACTTTTTTAAGCCATTCTGCGCTGAGGTTCCCACACCTCAGGCAGCAGGCAGAGCAGGCACTCTGCCCTCTCAAGTGCACTTCCCTGGAGAACAGCACCTTCAACCCAGTGGGATTCCAGCTCCTGATGCTGTCTGAGGCAGCTTTGTGCAGCAGAGGTGCACATGCCCTGGGCAGAGCCCTCGCTGCTTCCGAGGCTGCTCACAAGAGCTGAAAAGCCACAGCACGGAAGCAGCCGCTCGCTGCTGCAATTCACCACCCCCAGCTGCCAGCACAGCCTACTCCCCCAGCTCGGGCAGAGTAGCCAGGGCTTCCAAACTCTTTTAAGCCAAATGAAGCAGCAAAGCATAAGGAAAAAAGATACTCAAAATAAAGGAGCAATGCCTGGGTGCAGGCCTGGGGACAGGAAAAGATGAGCAGCAATCTGGCAGGAGTGCAGCAGCAAATGCTTAAGCAGGCTGCACTCAGCTCTGCTGCTGGTTCAGCCACTGCAAGGGGAGATGTGTGACCACAACCTCCTGATGTCAGAGCATGAACCAAGCTGAGAATAACCCATAAACATGGGAGGTTGGCTTTTGATATATTTTTTTTTTTTTCAGTCAGGAAGTGTTCATTCCTCTGCTCACCACAGTTTGATGTTGTAGCTGTAAATCATAATCACCTCTGGCTGCTCCTAGCCTTGTCTGTCCCTACACTCCTCTTTCTGGACTTAGCTGGGCAAAAGCAGGACCCAGCTGTGCCTGGGTAAAAGAAACAACTACAAAAGCCTCAGATCTCTACAAACCAATTTCTGCTCTCTGTTTGAAGACTATCACAAAAGTCAGAAAATTACTTGATTTTTAGACTGAGAAACTATAACTGCATTTATCTACATTCTATTATCAGCCACTTTGATAATCAGGATACCTTGATGGTGAGCTAGAACATTATTCAGATCTGCTGTGTACATCTTTCAGAGCACAGAGATGCTCTGAGTGCTTGAATACATCAAGGGACTCATGATTAGGAGTTACCCCAGACCTGACTACCAGAGCTTCCCCCAGAGAGCTCTAGAGGGCACACAGCATTCAGATTCTGCACAGAACAGTTTTCAAAACTGCTTTTGGTTTCCTGGAGTTCACAGGTACACCTCTGCACCATTAAAACATTTCAGAAAATATTAAAAGCATTTTTCTGTGGTCATAGAAGACAAAGTATAACCCTTCTATGTGCTCAAGCTTTCTAAAGTACACAAAGATATAAAAACTACACGTAGCAAGCTGTGATTACTGCAGGAGGCAATAAAAGATTAGAATGTTAACTCTTCTTAGTAGACTGAGTTAGTTGCAAAATTTCCTTTTTTGAACAATTAAGATTTTTTACATGGAAGCAGAAGGTACAGATGTAATGGAGGAAGCTGGCCTCCCAGCTCTCTTCTTCCCAGAAGAGAGCCCAACCTTCCTCACAATTTCCATGTCAGATCTGACAAGTCCTCCAAGAACAAAAAATGAGGCATGTTCCCTTTGGTTTTCAGGTTGTCATATCCATGCAGAACTTCACTGTGCACTCCATTACAGCTATTTTCATTTCTCCCACGTGTTCAGCTTGCTGCCTTTCAAATGGTTTCCACTTCTTGCCCCATGGTACATCTTTGCACCACTTCAGTTTTTAGGCTCCACTGGCCTATCTATTTCACATTATTGATATTATTTATAATAGTGTAATGCTCTAAGAAATAATGACTGTTTGTTTATCAATGGTTGCGTACTTTTTACAGCAATTCCAGTTTTAAGCCGAGAGCCAGAACATCAATCAGCCCATGCTTTGGGCCTGAGCAGCATAGATTGAAGGCTGAAAAACACAAGTTGCTCAAATAAGAAGGTAGGAGTTCCATAAGAGTCCCAGTTTTGCATCTCTTGACTTTCCCTGTTTTTTACTGGAAACTGGCATTATTCCTTACTCATAGCAGTTACATGGCAACAATGGACATACCTACAAGATGTCCCAAAGCATTTATTGCACAGTACTAATACCAAAGCCATATAATTCTATTTTAAATATTCATTTCAAGGCTGGTGTGCTGGGGTCATTCTCTTGTGGTGGTGAAAGCACAAACACACACCATAAACAATTGTGAAAAAAGGCTTTAAGCCAGGATTTACAGCCAGATGCCAACACCATGGAGCCATATTTTGATGGGAAATGAATTCCAGAGCATAATGGTAAAACATGTGCTTCATCCCCTTGGGTGGGCATTTGGGATATAGGATTCTTGTTTGGCTAAGCCTAGGAAGTAAATTCATGGAAATAAAGAAATTTCTGCATTTGAATTACGGAGAAAGAACTAGTCAGATAAATTTAAAATGTGCCAAATTGTTTCAGCTAATATTTCCCTTATTTATGATAATAGACTTCATGTCAGAAAAAGGCCTGTAGAATAATGGGGAGAATCAGATGGAATTACAGAATATTTAATCTAACTTGCTCTAGAAATAGACTTAAATAAGAATAAAAATAGGGATATAATTTTTTAAAATGAGAGTTTATCTCTAGAACAAGGCTATTCTCTTATGTTCCATGTAATTTGGCAGAACTTTTTCTCTCTTTTAATTCAGTTTTGTAGAACTCTTGGATTGTTTTTATGCAAATACATTGGGATTTTTATATTGAAATCTTCTCCAGTTAAGACTGAAAAATAGCAAAGAATTTCCAGTCCAATAAGCAATAGGAAGAAGAAAATTTTGCCGAGAAGACAAAAATACTTTTGTTACTGAAAAAAATGTTGCAGCCCTGTAAGCTCTTAGAAGTTTAGCTGAACTCAGAGGGAGTTCAGCTCCCTCTGAGCTGATAGGGAATAGTTAAAAAGTGGTGCAGCTCCCTAAGGACCAGTGGTGCTATTCCAGTACTCAACACTCCACTCAAAGTCTAGGCTTGGGAATTTGAGCCAGAACTTTTGAAATTGAGCTCCACTCATTCCATGTTCCACCTCACATGTACCACCATAAAAAATAGTTTATTGGGCATAAAACATACTGTGCTGGGACAAACACAAATAGAACACCTGCCTTTGATGATTATGAGTAGATACTTAAAAAGAGAGTTTAGGGGGGAAAAAAATGAAGCAACACATTATTTGAAATTGTTTTTAGCTTAATATTTTAACCTGAGTTTCACTCCCAAAAATTTATCCAGTGTTTCAAGAGCATAGCTGGAAAGCCAGCCAAGCATCAACTGAGATCTACCTGGCAGAACTGCTTTGTCTTCAGGGTGAGATGTCCCACAGGTCAGTGTGGGATTAGGAATAATCTCACCCCAGTGCCAAGAAGAGAGCTCCATAAGGTGTATGATAGGGGTTAAAACAAGCACTGTGACCATAGCAGAGAAACCACTTAAAACTTTCCCTCAAATCTGATGCAGCCAAAACATCTGCCTCTCACCCCATAAACGTCCCTACACTTCTGTTCCCTTTATGACAAAGGAATGGGCCTTTTAAGGCACATTTAATAGCCAGCAGCTGTTGGGCTGTCAAATGCCACATCTGGAGAAGCTGTGTGCTGTTAATGTGAGCAGAAACAATTATTCCTTAATACTTTTGCTTAATTTTAAGAATTACACAAATGACAACAAAAGGGGGGCATGTTCTTAATGGAAACACATCTGGTTTCCTCTGAAAACAAGTCAAAAAAAAAAAAAGAAAAAAAAACCAAAAGGGGGGGTCCAGTGATTAAGTGAAGCAGCACCTATAATCCATCATAGCTCAGTGAGGAGAAGGAAAGCTACTGACATACAGGCTCTCAGTGTTTGAGTACTCCCCTCAGGAAATTTGCAACATGCAAGAAGACCATGGCTGTTGGTTTGCATTAAATGATGTTACTTATCACATGGTGCTGTTCCCTCTGTATCTGGATATTCCTGTCCCTTGGGAAGTTCCCATGCTGCTGCCTCACTCCTGGACTCTATACAGCTTGTACATCAGGAAAAGAGCATCATTGCCCTTCCACTTGGATCTTCCACTTCATTATACTACCAAGACATGGCCTGTCTTCCTAATGGACAGCATTTGGGCTGTATTCAAACCTCAGGAAAGCCAATTCAATTATTTCCACCAACTTTCTCAGGCTTCAAATGAGCTCTGAGTGAGTTGCAGACAACTGTCTCCCTGGAGAGGCAGCAAGTGGGGCACTGTCACCCAGACTCATCCCCAAGGCCTCACGTAGCAGCGTGTGGATCACCAGTGGAAAGAGAATTGATTTTTGCCATGAAAATCAATCAACTGGCAAGCTTGGCCAAGCAGAGCCACCAAGCAGCACGTGCTGCCTGAGCAGATGAACTCCCCCACTGAAAGGCACACATGCAGAAAGCTGTGGGGAGGTGGCAGGAACGTGTTGAAAGAACTGAAAGCTAAATGGACACAAAGGGAGGCAAATAGAGATGTTTTTCTATTTCTATTTACTCTTTTTCTGTGGAGATCAATGCCTAGAACGGTTTGTGCCCTGTCAGAGCACTTTGCTGGCCTCAGAACATGCCTTTTTGGAGCGGTGTCCCTCCCATGGCCCCTTGTGCACTGGCTGTTTGCCCTGCACATTCAGCTGGAGCCCCACGAGCCTGTTCACGTCTTCCACGTGCTCGTTCCTCTGGAAAGCTGTGACTCTGATGCAGTGCAACTGCACAGAGCTGACATTTTTAACTGGCACTTGACACCACTGCTCTCTTTTCAAATCAGGCACCACCACAAGCAGCCCATTGTGCCTCCTACTTCAGCCTGGCCCAGGATGGGGATGCTTCACCAACGCCCTGCTGAGCTGGGCTCACAGCTGGGCTGAGCCTTTGGAGGAAAACAAGCCCATGATTCATTGGCATCTGTGTCTGCCACACAGAGCTGAGGGATTTGCAGTGATCTACTAACAGCATGAGCAGGACAGACAGATGAAAACCATTTGGAAATGCAGCCAGGAAATGTAACATACAGTAGCAGACAGGGGACAACCAGCTCTTGAAGTCAGGTCAGCTCCTTGCCTGTGGTGGCTGCCAGGCAGCCCCAGCTGAAAGGCAGAGGACTCACTGCATCACACTTAATACTCTCAGTGTCATCAGTAGGACTAATAGCACCTTGTGAAACATGGCAAGTGCCCCAAAAATTTTTAACAAAGAAGTTTTTCCATGTAACATGAACACAGTACCTTTCCA